TTCCATCTCCATTTCCTCCTGCTTAGCTCTGATTCCAAACAGCTTGCTAACCATTTGATTTCCCCTCATCCCAGGCCCAGGCAGGGTGGCTGCAGCATGATTTTGGACACCTCTCTGTCTTCAAGAARTCCTCCTGGAACCACATCGTCCACAAGTTTGTCATCGGGCACCTGAAGGTAAAGGGAATTACAGAGCCGGGCAATCCTGGGAATGCGTCACTTTGGCTGTGGCTGAGTAGGAAAGGGCAGCTCTCAACCTCCCCAAAGCRAGCAGAGGCACAAAAAAAGTTGCTGACCATTGTCCATGGAGCCTCCTGGGATAGTGGGAGGGGTCCCGTGGCAGGGAGTTGGAACTGGATGAGCTTCAAGGTCCTTCTGACCCAAACCACTCCAGGGTTTTCCATGGAAAGACACAGTGACCATAACCCGCTCTGAWTGTGTTTATTCCGTGTTCTCTGCATTCGGATGATCCTTGGGGATCCCTCTGGAACCAGCAGCCTCATAGCAACCAACTCCACCACTCCCTGCTCGCTGCTCCTTCYAAAGCAAACCCCACTCTGGCCGCAATCCCGCTCGCACTGCTTTGATACTCACAATCCAYCGGGTAATCCCAGCTCYGGAGCAGCTCCCCAGGGCTGAAAAMTCYRTGTTTTCCTCACCCAGGGTGCCTCTGCCAACTGGTGGAACCACCGCCACTTCCAGCACCACGCCAAGCCCAACATCTTCAAGAAGGACCCYGATGTGAACATGCTGCACATTTTTGTCCTGGGAGACACGCAGCCCGTCGAGGTACGGGAAAATGGGGGAAAAAATGTGGGAAGCTGCCGTCCGAGAGAGAGATGGTTGCGCAAATYCAGGAGTTGGCTCCCATTGTTAGACATGACTTACGCAGGCAGGACTTCCAGGAATGCTAGAGAGGAAACGCTTAATCCCGGGATTTCGTCTGGCTGTGCTGTTGGACAGGAGTTTGGAGCCAGCCCTTGGGCTGAGGAGCAGCGTTGGCTGTTAATTCCCAATCCATTTCCTGTGCTGACCGCAGGAAAGTGTTCTGGGGTAACTCGGGAGAAATAACGCAGATGGGGTTGGAGGGAAAGCAGGAAGCCACGAAAGGCCACTTCATCCTGCTTGGAATGTCAGCATGAGGGGGAGTTGTGGTGTTCCTCAGTATTCCAGCAGCAGCGTTTCAGAACTGGCCTTCCATTTCCATAGCAAATAWCTTCCAGCATCAAGTGATTTTAATTTTAACTCAATCTGCCCCTCCAGAGCCAAAATRTTTACTGCCTGCTTTATAAAAATCTACCCAAAGCACTTAAATCGTGGTGCTTGTCTCAATGGAACAAGGGTTTCTAGTTTTATAAACAAAACCCCAAGAAAGTGGACAAGCAACAAAGACAACACAGGGAAACACCACATTAAAAATGGCTTCTCAGCCAGATTTTAGATTATTGAGAAAGCAGACCATGGTTCTACTGCGTGAAAGGAAAACCTAAACATCTGTGGTAGCAAGGAGCACTGGATTTTCTCCTCAAAATACCTGGGATGTTAGGCCAGCATGGTCTATCCCAATATTTTCACACTGGTATATAATCCTGTTCCAGATGATGCCAAGCATAAAACCTTTCAGAGCTCAGCCCAGAGAGAATGATGTTCCTGATTTATTGGTGCTACAATCCTTCTCTTCCAAAAAAATCAGATTTTGTGCCTGTCACATTCATATTAGTAAAGATGGAGGTGCTGGCAGCTTTTAGCACAGACACAGGGATGGCAGAAGGTGAAGTGCATCAAAATTCCATCAAGGAAGTAGAAATGATCTTAAAAAAAATGAATTTACACCTAACACAGTGCCAAAGTCAGGACATTTAATCACACCCAACCACTTCTCATCTGCTGGTGGGATTTCAGTCAAAACTCCCCGGTCCATAAATCAAGAACTATTGCAGAGAATCTGCTTTTACCTGGGAGTGTCCCAACCCCGGGCTGAGCTGTCTCCTTGTGCCCTGCAGTACGGCAAGAAGAAGCTGAAGTACCTGCCTTACAACCACCAGCACGAGTACTTCTTCCTCAGTGAGTATCCACCCTCCTCCCTTCCCTTTCCCTGCAGTGCCACTTGTCCTTTCCAGCCCTCACCGTGTGAGCAGAGCAACTCCTCAAATCCCAGCTCATCCCACCCAAAATCCGCTCAGGGATATCCAAGCACCCGGAGCATTCCTCTATAGAGCAAAGGGAACAGCTGAGATTGGGATCAAGCTCCACGTGAGAGGCTTCATGGACAAATCCCCGGTTCCATGGAAGCAGCCCCCTCGTGTCCCACCCCTCTGATGGCCAAACCATTTCCCTTTGCCTTGCAGTCTTCCCGCCTCTGCTCATCCCCGTGTATTTCCAAATCCAAATCATCTCGACCATGATCAGGCGCAGGTTCTGGGCGGTGAGTGAAGCATCCCCTCCCTCCTCACGGGCAGCAGGGAATGACCCAGAGCTCCCATTGTCCCTGGTGAGGACACAAAGTGTGGGCAAAGTGACCCTTGGTGTTCTCTGTCCACCCCCAGGACCTGGCCTGGGCCATCAGCTACTACCTGCGCTACTTCATCACCTACATCCCGTTCTATGGCGTGCTGGGCTCCCTGTGCCTGCTCACCTTTGTCAGGTATGGGATCAGGGCCATCCCTGCTGCTCTCCCATCCCTYTGGTGCTGTTTGAGCCCGGCCTCAGCCCTGGTGGCTCCCACTGCATCATTTCCCTGCCGGCATCTCCCAATGCCAGCTCCTCCTCCTGCATCTCCCCCTGTCCCACCGTGGTCCAGCCAGGATTCTGCTCCCTGTCCTCATTCCCTTTTCTCACACACTTTGGTCATGGCTGGACCCTCCCAGAGTGCCTCATCCCACCCTCCTCCCAGCTCACTCTGGAAGTAACTCTATGTCTGAAATCAAGCTGRAAAACTTATCACAATTGGCCCATTATTCCCAAAATTTTGGACGAAGCTCAAAGTACAAGGAGAAAAACCCAACCAAACCCAAAATTGCGAAATCAGWTCATCTGCTTCTGCAGAAAAGAAGCCTGGAACAAGGATGATTCCACACAATTCCTTATCAACATCCATCCAAGTCTCTGCTGCTCCCTGTAAACCCCACTCTGGTTACCTGATGTCCCCATCTCCGGCAGGAATTGTCATGGTTTTTCCTGGTTTTGCAGGTTTCTGGAGAGTCACTGGTTTGTGTGGGTCACCCAGATGAATCACATTCCAATGGAAATTGATTCTGAGAAGCACAGAGACTGGCTGAGCTCCCAGGTAACTGGGAGGGGGGAAAAACAGCCCTGATTTCACCCCAAAATGAGAYTTACTCAAAGAATGGATGGGTTCCACCACCCCTGGGTACTAGGATAGGGTGTCCATGATTTCTGTCATAAAGATGTTCTTCCCAGAGCCAGCAATGCTGAGGAAAGACATGGAATTTCAAAGTTCTGCAATTCATTTGACAATCAAAACCTTACTCGCTCCTGGAGGCAAGTTGAGAGAGGGGGTGGCTGAAGGTGGCTGTGACTGCAAATCCAAAATATATTCMTGGGTGTTTTGGCCAGGCCTGTAGATCCCAGCAGTGAAACAGCTGAGGRAAAAGTGGTGGCTCTTYATTTTGGAGCCTTTGTCCTTTTGTTTTGGAAGATGAGTGACTGAGTGTGCTCCCTTTCCTCTTTATTCTAGAACCAGATCCTTGATGTATTGAAAATTCTATCTATCTCCTGCAAATCCAAGTGAAATGTCTTAGGGAAGAACCCAATCAAAAATTTGGTTGAATTTTAAGGATTTCAAGGAAAAAATACCTGATTTTATGGTCATTAATGGCAAGAATAGCTAAGGAATATTGTCAGAATATCRCACTTAAGGCAAACTGGGCAGTAACTACACGAGGATGGGGAAGCTTTGTTCTGTGCTTTTTCCTCTTGTTTTCCACCTTGGTACAGCTGTCAGCCCTGTGATTTCCAAAGGAAGAGGCTGAGATTTAGGGATCTGGGCTTGGGCTGCCACATCTCTTCAGCGCCAGCGACAGTTTGATTACCTGAGGGAGGATTAAAGCTCCCCTTGCTGCACCCAGCACCCAGGGAWGGGGGATTCCACCCTGATTTTGGGATGAGCCATCCCTAATGCTGACATCTCGCTCCTTCCCTKGCAGATGGCAGCGACCTGCAACATCGAGCAGTCCTTTTTCAACGACTGGTTCACCGGGCACCTCAACTTCCARATCGAGCACCAGTGAGTACGGAGCCCACAGGGCAAGTGGTGWCCCCTGGCTTGTCACAGCCCTGGGGGGACAACCACGAGGTGACAAGGAAAGGGAGTCCCAGACTACACAGGGCTGGAARTTGTGGATGTYCTCATCCCTGGAAGTGCCYRAGGCCAGGTTGGATGGGGTTTGGAGCACCCTGGGACAGTGGGAGATGTCCCYKCCCTGGRACKGGATGGGATTTAAAATCCCTTCCCACCCCAACCATTCCATGACTGTCTGCTTCTGCTTCAGCCATGATATTTTTCTCTCTCACACCCTTAATTTAGAGTTTAATTAGGAGTCATCATTATGCACAGGTTACAAAGGCCGTGGACTCAGATCCTGATCATCCACTTTGGAAAAGTTCCCTCCCCCAAAGCACTCCGGTGTTTTAGAGTGTGGGACTGTGTGGGCTGCTGGGTACTGGATTCCAGAAAAAATATGGAAACCAGGGCCATATGGACAGTCTGTTGCTAGTGGCAACAGCAAATGTAAAAGGAACGGCTTTTAGGGTGAGGCTGCCTGGTTTGGGAGCCAGCTTAGGAAATCTCCATGGAACAGCACAGGGCAAGGTCCCCCAGGATCCTTCTTTACCTTCTAGAGGTGGAAAAGCAGGTCTCTGGGAATTTATTTCAGCAAGAAACAATTATTCCCAGAGGAATAATTGCTTGAGGCTGCTCCCTCACCCCAGTGCACTCGCAGCATCCATCCCTGAATGTCACCTGAGCACAGCTTTGCTTTGAGGGACGGCAGGAAAATCAGTTTTCACCCCCTCCTTGAGCCAGAGCAGTGTAAAACATGGATGTGTCTGTGCCAGAGGAGTGTAAAACTCTGTCTGTGCCAGAGGAGTGTAAAACATGGATGTGTCTGTGGCAGAGGAGTGTAAAACATGGATGTGTCTGTGGCAGAGGAGTGTAAAACATGGATGAGTCTGTGCCAGAGGAGTGTAAAACACAGATGTGTCTGTGCCAGCGGAGTGTAAAACACAGAGATGTCAGTGCCAGAGGAGTGTAAAACACAGAGATGTCAGTGCCAGAGGAGTGTAAAATTGTGCCTGTGCCTCTCGTTGCTCTGTGTGTGCAGCTGGAGGAGGAGGAGGCACCACACTGAGCCCTGAGGATGCAAACAGAGACGCCCATCCCTTGCTCATCTCTCAAGCTTTCTCAGCTCCATCTTCCCTCTCTCCTGTCCAGCCTGTTCCCAACAATGCCACGGCACAACTTCTGGAAGGTGAAGCCTCTGGTGAAGTCGTTGTGTGCCAAGCACGGGGTGCAGTAYGAGGAGAAGCCCCTGGGGAAGGCGTTCGTGGACATCGTTGGGTAAGGCCCTGCTGACCCCACCTGCAGCTCCTTTTTCTCCAGGGTGTTTTCCAGCACAGAGACAATTCAGAAATGTCACATCAGTGGGGTGTTGCTGTCAAAGCCCCAAACACTTAAACCTTTAGATGGGTACAGAGCTGTTGGTGGCACTTGGGGACGTGGGCAGCGGTGGCTCAGTGGTGCTGGGGTCCATCTCAGGGTGCTTTTCCAACCTGAATGATGCTGATTTTTAGACCACCTCATTCTGCYGCTGTTAGGAGCTGCCAGCAGATCTCCTGGGAGATGAATCAAAGGGAACAGCTCAGGTTACAGCCCATTCTACATCCCCTGAGAGCCCTCCAGGAGCAATTCCCTGCGGGCAGAGCTGGGGAGCAGTCCAGCAGAGTCCCTGCCAGCTGGCTCAGTTACTCTGAGGGGAATAATTCATGGCAGGGAAGGTGAGACAGCCCTGCAGCYTGGGTGCCCACAACGGGCAGGAGAGCTGGAAACTGGGTCCAAACCCGCTTGTGTCCTCAAATCCTGTTGGGACAGCACCAAGGCACAGTGGGATGGAGCCTGGAGGAACTTACAGCCCCTTCCAGTGCCTCAAAGAGCTCCAAATGAGCTGGAGAGGGACTTTGGACAAGGGTCTGGAGCGGGCAGGACAAGGGGGAATGGCTCACACCCACAAAGGGTGGGTTCTGTCAGCCTGAGCCTAAGATTGATATTAAAATTCAGTCACAAAGGCTTCAATTCAGGAAAAACACAACAGAGGCAAGAGTCCCAAACCAACTTCTCCTCCTTTTCCTCCCGCAGGTCCCTAAAGAAATCTGGAGATCTGTGGCTGGATGCTTATCTCCATAAGTGATGCTGAGTCTGTCTGGGGAGGTGTGAGTGACCGGGAGGGATGGGGGGGCGTGGGGGGGATCACACTTGTGTCTTTTATCTCAGATCTCAGTCTCAGTCTGGGGGGAGGGCAGCTCCCTGTCCTGTCAGCCGCTCCTGCTGCAGCCAGGCAGATTCCAAACGTGCTCCAAAGGGTGGACGGCGAGGCCAGCAMGGAAAGTTGGGAGAGGATGATGAGGGATGTTTTAAAAAAGGGGCATTAGCGTCTCACCTKGACCTTCCCTTCACAAGATTCTCGTTGTGCCCAAACCACACCAGCCCCGATTCACGCCTGGGGGTTTTGAGGTCTCAGGACAATCCCAGGACAATCCCAGCCAGCTTCCCGTGTTTGTGGGAAAGAGGAATTGCAATCCCTGGGTTGTGCTTCCCRCCCTCTCCTTCCCTCCTCTCACCCCAGCATCCCCTCAGTCCCAACTAACCCCTAACCACAGCAGGGTTAACACAGCCTCCTCTGTAGGGTCAGGCCCTATTCCCAAGGGTCTCTACAGGATTTCTGGGCTTCAACAGCAAAACCAGAGGGTCTGTTCTCTCTTTAACGAGCACAGCCAGTTGTCAGTAAACCACACAAAAGACCAAAACAATCAGGCGAGCACAACGTGCTAATTGCTCCTCGGTGCTCCGGGGGAATTTTCCCCAGAGAATTTTCCCTGCAGAAAACCGGGGTTCTGCCTGTCTGCAGCAGCCTGGCAGGCACCGAGCCCCTTCCTGGCACCCTCGGGGACAATCCCAAGAGAAGAGGAGTTCTCCCTGCAAAAGGAAGAGCTGCCTGGGTCCCAGCTGGACTCAGGACTCTGTTGCTGCTGTGAAACCTCTGGAGAATGCTCTCACAACTTGTTTAAAGCTCAACTTTCTGCCCATAATTACAAAATTACCAAAACCCACTAATGGCTCCTCAACAGATGTGGTTGAACAGCTTCCAGGTGCTTCTGGACGCCTGACCCCAAATAAATCCAGRGGTTTGGGTTCAGCTGCAGCACAGCAGAAGAGATGTTTGGTTTAGGACAAAGGGCTGTGGTTCCTGAAGCAGCTCCAGCATCCGCCTCGGGGCTCCCTGGAAATGCCAGGAGGGAGACTCTGCTTGCTTTGCACGCCTCATTACATCCCTCAGCTCTGCAACTGGATCTCCTCTATCAAATCCCTGCATCCTGACAGCATCCCACAGAGCCAGCAAGGTGCTTCATGGACAGAGAACGACTCCGGGACTGTGGCCAGCATCGTAAAAAAAAACCCCAAAAAAACAAAACAAAACAACAACAAAAAAAAGTGTTCCCTCCCCGCCTTCTTTGGAGAATAAAATGAGATTTTATCTTTGCTTACAGATGGGGAATTCAGCATCTTGCAGCTTCAGCAAGGCAGTGATACTTAGGGTTTGTGAAGGGCTTGTGCTGGGGGTCTTGCCCACCCAAGTACCACCAGGAACGTTTAGGGTGAGCAGCTACAAATTTCCAATTTAGGGTGAACAGATGCATCAGTGACATCCTTCTGGGTGCTGTGGTTTCCCAGGCAGGCAGTAAGGAGCTGGCCTGGAATTRGGCTAATCTCATTAGGACCGCCTTAATTTGTGCATCCCTTCCTGGAACGCAGCTCACTGTGCTCCAGCAAGGATGACCACGAGCACTGTGGTCAGTGGGAGCTTTCAAATGTCCAGCTTATTCTTCTGGCAACCCTTGGTTTTTTGTCCTATTTCTAGAGCAAATATTTTCCTCTCTCCTCTCCCTCTCCTCTCCCTCTCCTCTCCTCTCCTCTCCTCTCCTCTCCTCTCCTCTCCTCTCCTCTCCTCTCCTCTCCTCTCCGGCAAATTGTTTTTTCCCCAAGAAACCTTACTATTTTTTCAGGCAAAGCCTCTCTGGCTCATTCAGTTTTTCCCCCCCTCCCTCAAAAAAAAAAAAACAATCCCAGTTTTCTATCTTGGAATTAGAGCTGTTTCTATGTGCCTTGATTCCTTGCTGACAGCCCATCCTTGGGAGGGTTCCAGGACAGGCTGGATGAGGTTTGGAGCAGCCTGGTCTAGGGAAGCTGTCCCTGCCCATGTCAGGAGGGTGGAATTGGATGATCTTTGTTGCCCCTTCCAACCCAAGCCATTCCAGGATTCCTGTAAGCTCTCCACCCTCGAACTGGAGCAGGTCAAACAGATCCCTGACAAAGAGCCCTGGAAGTCTGCATCAATCTGCTCTGTTCCCATTGTTCTCAGAGTAAAATCAGATTCCTCTGGAGATATTGCAGAAGTTTCAGTGAAACTGCAAACATTGSTGGATACAAACTTCCCCTGAGCTTCCTCGGCTTTGTCTCCAACGAGTGAGACAGGAGCAGGTCAAAAATCTGCCACCAAAATGACTGGAACACAGAATTWTCAGCACAGCTTTGCCCAGCTTTCTGAGGACTCTTAACTAACCCATTTCTCTGAAAATAACGAGGTGAAATCTCGTCCGCTTTCTCTCTTGGTAAAGGTCATTCATTTGCACTGTWATGAGACACAAACATGGGAAAAAAACCAAAAAACAAAAACCAAACCCAAACYAGTGAGARGTGCTGGGAGCCTGMCAGGGTTTATTGAACCCAGCTACACCACRGGGCAACGGGGAGCTGCAGACAGAGCTGGTTTAGGGCAGGGAACCAAGCACCAGCCAGGGAAGGACTGGATTTGTTCTCCTCACTCACCGTGGAGGGGCTGGAGTAGGAGCTGGAGGACCAGGACGGCCGAGGAAGGCAGAGAAAAGCACAAACTGCAGCAAGGAGAAGCCTCAGGGCATCTGAGGTTTTTGGGTTTTGGAAGGAGAAGGAGAGAAGGGAGAAGTTTGGGAAGGTCAGGGCTTGGGGAGGGATGCATGAGAGTGGGAGCAAAAATACTGAGGGGGCRAAGGAGAAGGAGAAGAAATTGGGAATGGGGTGTCCCACGTTCTCCCAGCACGGCTGGAATCTGCCTGGAGAATGTGCTGGAGCCCCGAGGGGGTGGCAGGGACTGGTGACAGCCACAGGCACCGCAGGGTGAGCTGGATCTCACCCTGAGCCCCATCCCGGGCTCTGGCAGGAGGCACTGACCATCCCCATCTCCAGGAGAGGCACAGAGGGAATCAGGGAAAACTTTCCTGGGAGTTTTCCCTYCAAGCAAGGATTTGAGGAGTCCAGAGCTCAAGTGCTCGCTGAAAMAGGGCTTGGGAGGCTCGTCAGGACCCATCTCCAGGCACCATCGTTCCCTGCTGCAGGGGCTGAGCTCTCTGGCTGGATTTGAGGTCTTCATTAGGGCAAAGACATCCTTTTCCTTAGTAGATGCTTTCCTGAGAAAGCCTTCCTAACAAAGCCCTAACATTCCCGATGTTAAAACAGCAAACCCACATTCCTTATAGGACAGCTCCTGGTTGGTTTTTTTTTTGTTGTTTTCATTCTTAAAAAAAAAAAAAAATTAAAAATATTCCAGTAACTCAAAAAGAACATTTTTTTTCTTGTGTATTCTACTGCTCAATAAAATCATAACTATTTGTTGACCGTAAAAATGCTCTGTGTGTTTTTTTTTTCCAGTCACATCCAGAGTCTTTCATGCTCAGATCTGTTCCCTCCTTCTGCCACACAAACCCACGGGCAGGTGGCAGGAGATGCCACCTCAGCAGGWTGGGACATTTCTAGGGTGGGAATGTCACCATCCAGGTTTTGCTCTGAGATCAAGACCGTGTTCAAAGTCAGAACTTTAAAGGGTCAGGGAAGGATTTACATAAAAAGGGTGATTCTATCTCAGATTTCAGATTTAGCCTTGTAACTGCTGTTTTTAGCAGCTCACAATCAGATCCCAAGCCAAGAACATYGTGGAAGCAAACTAAAAAGGGATTTGGGATCAGGCTGGCTGATTATGGCTTCCCTTGGTTTTCCTGGAGGTGTTTTTTGCCAGCAAGTGTGGAAAGTCCTTTTTCCACCTCATGTGGGGTAAAATTAGTGGAATTGCTTTGATACCATTGGCTTTAATTGCACAAATGGATTTTTTTTATCAGCATTCACCATCTGAGGATCAATGCTGCTGCTTCCCCTCATCCTGAGAGCAAACCCCAAAAGAAAGGAGATTTTCCTATCACTTAAACTCGGACTCCAGATTGTCTGGGGAGGCAGCTGAGGATCAAATTGTTGAGAAAA